CAGCTCCACACCCAAGTTCCTCCCTTCACACCCCTCAGAGCCTGGTATTTTCCCGACAGCACAGTATCCATCCACAATAAATCTCTTCTTCCTGCTCCACAATTTATTTTCATAACCCAGTTTATTCCTTCAGAGGAAGCACAAGCAAGAAAATTCAGTAAAGGCTCATGGCAATTGCTTATTCCTTTTACGATGCCTGCTTGGCAGCTGTGGTTTTAGCAGTCATTTATGCCTGCACACAAAGTGAGGAGCTGCGGGTGGCGAGCCTGCCAGCACGGAGCGATCTGCTGAGATTTCCCTGCAAGTCTCACAGCTGCGAGAACGCTTCCTGAAGTCTCAGCTTTGGGAATCGTGAGATCGTTGGACAAGGTGATTTGATTACTCCATACAGCACAACGATAGCTGTTATGGCTCTGGGGGAGAAAGCGCGTGCAATGACCAAGCTAGACATCCCGACAGCCTCGCACGGCTCGCCCTATTGCCGCGCGTCTCCCGCCCCGTTTCGGGGGCCGCCCGGCTTAGCCTCAACCCGCGCCGCGGGCGGGGCCAGCCCGGCCCCCGGGGCAGGCGGCGCAGTCCCAGCGCTGCCGCAGCGGCCCGGCCCCCGCCACCCGCCCTCGGACTACAACTCCCAGAGTGCCGCCGCCGCCGCCGCCCGCCGGCACAGCCCGCCCGCCCGCCTCGGCGCTGCCCGGCGCGGCTCGGCGCTGCCGCTCGTCTGAGCGCGGGGCGCTGGCCGTGGCCGCAGGTAGGTGTGCGGGGCGGGCGGCGATGCGGTTGCCGAAGGGTGGGAGCCGGGGCAGGAGGAGGTGTGCTGGGTGTGCGCGCGTGTGTGCCGGCTGCGTGGGTGCGGGTGCAAGCTCCGCACCGGCGGGGCACACACTTGTGCGCGTGTCCAGCCGCTCCCCGCGAGCGCGTTACGTGCAGCTACCGCTGAGGTCCCGGGAAGAGCGGTGGGAGCTGCGTCCGTACCGTACCCAGCGCCTCGGTGCCATCGGTGCACATGTGTCGTCTGCGTGTGCAACACGTTCGCGGGGCTGCGCTTCTCCCTAATTTCACGGGGAGTTCGGCCTCGGGTTGTCCGGGGGGCTACGGAACAGGGGGGGATAACGAATTAATTGCAGATGAGAAGTAATATCCGTCTTTGAGTCATCAGTCGTTGAGGCATAATTTCATTCCGAAAGCTCTTAATCAAAGTGGAGATCTGCTATGGGAAAGCACCGCTCTTCCCATGGGATTATCAGATTTCCACCGGAGAATACAGATCCTGGATTACAGAGCTGTGTGGGATTTGTGTGATTCTTTCTAATTAGTCTCCCTTTCTGAGTTTAAAATTCTTAATTCCAAGGGAAGGAAGTTACTTGCTTCTAAAGGAAAATAGCTATCTTTTTTTTTTTCCTCTGTCATTTTACATAGTTATTCCTGTGCTCTGCAGATGACTTACTGCCTTAATTGGATATTGGTGTCAAAGGTTGATTAGAGTCCCTAATAGATTTTGGATCTGCAAGAGGATTACGGCTTTAAGTTCGTGGTTAAAACAATCGTGTTTGTCATCTCCCCTTGAGCAGCAGAGAGGACGAGCAATGTATTACATTTCTGTTATCTGCTCTTTGCTTCATTAATGTATTGTCAGGAGGTTGTCGGGTTTGCCTTTGTTGTTGTTTTTTCCCTCTGCTATTTCATTTGCAGACCGAAAAGAAATGAACGTCAGAGGGGATTTGTTTAATCATTTAGCAGCTGACACAAGCCACGTCCCTAACAAAACAGTGGTGAAAGAGTAGAAGATTTTTGGGATTCTGCAGCTCGAGCACCATGAGACTGCTCTGGGGAGCCAGGGGCAGCGCTTGCTGAAGGATGCGGTAGCCCAGTGGCTGGGGCTCACCAAGTGGAGACCGATGGCTTGCATGGAGCTTCTCTACCTGGCCGAAGAAAGCAGGCAGGGTGCCCTGGGCCCCGCTGCCAGCTGGAACCTGCCCACCCCTCACTATGAGCAGCAGCAGCAACAGCAGCAGCATGAAACAGGAGAGGTGGACTCCGGAGCGGCAGCAGCTGTGGCAGCCCTGCGCTGTGAACGGCACTGCAAGCCCTCACAGAGAGGCTCCATGGCTGAGCTCACCCCAGCACCCCTGTCCTCCTGCTCGGGCAGCTCACCCCAGGAGCACCCCACACCCTCCAGCAACTCCCAGCCTTGCCACCTGCCTGAGCACTTTCCAGGGGAAGGGGATGGAGGGAAGAAGAAACCCTGCTGTTGTATCCAGGAACTCGAGACATCCTTCTCCTGCGTGGATGAAAATGTAAACCTGGAGCATACAAGAAGTCCCTCCAGTCCAACAGGCTACCAGGATGCTCCTCAGCAGCGCTCCTGCCGCGAGCTGCCTCCCGAGTGGGTGCACGATTCTCCGTCCCTGGTCTCCGAGGAGGATGAAACTGCCTCGGAGGCAGCGGCTGGGAAATCCTTGGACTATGGATTCATCAGTGCCATTTTGTTCCTAGTCAGTGGGATTTTGCTGGTGATCATTTCCTACGTGGTACCCAGAGACGTAACTGTGGATCCCAACACGGTGGCTGCCCGGGAGATGGAGAGACTGGAGAATGAGAGCGCCAGGATTGGGGCTCACCTGGACCGCTGTGTTATTGCCGGGCTGTGTCTCCTAACCCTGGGGGGAGTGGTGCTCTCCAGCCTGCTGATGATGTCCATGTGGAAAGGGGAGCTGTATCGGAGGAGCAGGTTTGCGTCCTCCAAGGAGTCTGCAAAGCTCTACGGGTCGTTCAATTTCAGAATGAAGTCTGGTGCAAACGATAATATGCTCGAGCTGTCATTAGTTGAGGAAGATGTGCTTGCCATAGATAATTAGTGTGGTCATGATTTTTAAAGCAGCGTTTCCACAAAAAAAAAGTATGTTTCATTAAAGGAAATAGATGTGGCTAAAGATAGCTGGTGATGCAGTTTGTTTTTCTGACAAGAACAGTCTTTCTGTGAGCTCTCTAATCAAATGTTTGCATTATATGAACACTTATTGTAAAGGGAGAACATGCCAGAGCAAATGCAATTGGTATAAAATAATGAAAACCACAGAATAAAAAGAGATTTTTGACAAGTAGATTCCTTAGATAACTCCTTTATCCTAACATAAAGCGTTCCTTTGGTGTCTTGCCTACGTAATTTTCTTATTACTTTCATATATAGAACAGGAACGACCTTGACACGTTGGAAGCTTGTTGCAGCCTACAGAAGGATTATTAACTGTCTGCTTGGTGTCATGTTAAGAAACAAGGCTGATATTTAATTAAAAGAGATTTTTTTTTAATAATTAAATTCTAAGCCAGTCCCTTGTTTTGTATGAGTGAGACGTGGGCAAAAAAGACCGCTTATTCATGGCTTACCACAAATCTCCCATATTTTCAAGCAGTGCTGCAATTAGTGGTGGTTATTTAAAATATAAAAATAAGAGGCAAAGGGCAAAGAACCATATGGCTCATGGTGGTATTGCTGAAAGACAAAAGGCTCTTTCAGCTTGAGGTCAGTGGTTCCACTTCAGTTCAGATTAGTAATGATTGATACTCACTAACTTCTGATAGCTATAGTGGCCCATATAAAGGAAGTTCAGTTCCCAGTGGACAGATGTCTTTGTATGAAAACTGCCATCACTTGAATTAACTGACCTCCTGTTAGGAGTCTCAAAAGATCCAAGGAGTAAAAAAGCATGGGGATGCAGAGACTGAACACATCTCCTTCAGTACAGATGCCAGAAGAAATTCAAGTTCTGCCTCAGGGTTTGCTTATAGTGGGCCTGTCTGCATCACACAAATCCTTTTGAAACTTCAGTTTCATGTCACTAGGCTGCTGGCCTTCTCATTACCAGAAACAAAAGGTCAGGATGGAGCTTTAGAGGCTCATTCAGTATAAACCAAATTCTTTACAAAAAATAAGTTGTCAGGAAACACAAAGGTTATACATCAAGCAGTTGGACTGGCTGGCATGGGACTGACTTAACGTAGGGGATGATCAAGGGTACAAGGCACTATCAATTGCCATTATGCAGCACAGTAGCCCAAAACTTCTATTACTGATGTGTTCAGTATCAGCCAGTTTCTGTGGAGCATTAAAGTTGTGGTCTTGTGATGGTGGGAAAAACAGCAAAGGTTGCTGTATGCGCTGCTGACCTTTTGTCGTGATTGATTGCTAATATATATTTGTTTTAGCCCCTGCCATAGCTAAATGTGAGTGAAGAGCTGTGTCTGTAAGGAACTAGCCTGCAGAACTGTGATAGAAACACTTGGTTTGTTGCCAGCTGTGGGTTAAATCTCAAATATAAGTAATATCTAATATTTGAAGAATGAGATTTTTTACTATTGTGAGATAATACCTGAGAAGAATCTTGGGAAGGGGTGAAGGGGGAAGGGGCAAGGGGCAAGGTATAGAATAACTAAAAGTCCTCCTGCAAAGGCGGTGCTGGGACTCACTGCTTCTGACATCGATGCATCCCAGCTAGAGCTCCCAGCCTGTCTGCTTTCCTTTTCAGTCTGCTGTGACTGGTGGAGATTGTGACCGCTGCCTTATTCTTCTTTGGAGGACAGTTCAACATGAGGCCTGGAGCACCCTGGCTGCCAAAGGGGGCTCTCAGTGGCTGGTATGACAGAGAAGTGAAGGGAAAAGCTGTATTTTATACCGAAATGAGAATGTTTATGGTCCATTCCAGCTCACACTACATGTAGCGGGGGATCTGCATATCTTCTCTGTTCTGTGTTTTAAAGTCCCTCTTGCTCTCTTCTCTGGCTGCTCATGGCAGGAGGCACACGCAGCTCCTGTGCCTGGCACCCTCCTGTGCTCAGTCCCTTGGGCTCAGCGGGCATGGCTGCCCTCTGCAGAGAGCTGGAGAACCTGCACCGCTCTGCCTTCATGCCTTTGGTCGCTGTAAATAGCGTAATGTTGTACTCAGACTTTAACTTTGACCCTGCAAAAGAGATGCTACTTAGCCGTTACTCGTTCTAGCTGCTGCATTAGTTGTGTTACTTGGTAACTAAAGGAGCAGCCTTGTTTGACGGTACTGCTGCCTAACAGATGTTATTTGCAGCTGTGTCATGATACAGAGCGTGTCTGAGGGCAGGAACTAGCAGTGGCCAGCAGTCACCTTGGGAGAGCTCACATCCCTCCGGGTGTGTCGTCAAGGAGATTGAATTGGTGAGGCCAATGGACTGAATTCTGATAAACCACTGGAAAAGGGTGCCCAGAGAGGTGGTGGAAGCCCTCATCTTTGGAGGTATTCAAAGTCAGGCAGGACAGGGCTCTGAGCAACCTGATCTAGCTGCAGGAGTCCCAGTTCATTGCAAGGGAGTGAGGCTAGATGGCTTTTAAAGATCCCTTCCATCTCAGAAAGTTCCGTGATTCTATCAATTTCTAAGGTGAAAAAGAGGAATAGCTTACTTATGTAAGGAGAACCTTCAGCCCACTGAGATCAGTGAGAGCAGGGAATGAAATTGCTCGAGAAGCAAGACTTAGAGAAGAAAGGCTGATTGCTAGCTGTCTTTTGCCTTGTGTGTACAAGGACACAACCCAGGTCATGTCCTCCAGAAGCACAGGGGAGGCCCTGCCAAGCAGGAGGGCAGATTGCACCTGGACAGGGGCAGCAGCTGGCACAAGGCAGGGGATAAACATCACGAGGGGCAAAAACCCTTTCATCACCCCTGATGGGAAGCCCTGTGCTCTGGGCTCATGTACACTGCAGAAGCTGGTGGATTTTGTGAGCCATTATTTTTATTTTTTAATGATACACATGCATAAAATTGAAGTACATTCCATAATTGCAGGAAGATGACAGCTAACACTGTAAAGATCACAGATTTCTTGTAGGAACCATGGCATGCTTTAATGCTGGTTATTAGCACTAGAAAAGAGCATGTTCCCCAGACTGCCAGTATATTATTATCAAGCGAGAAGTTTTCTGACACTTTGTAAAATGCCTGTCACAGATCATAAGCTTGCAGTACTTAAATGAACCCTCAAATATTCCCTGAGCATTTTAAGGAAACATAAGTCAACCTAATAATCTAAATGTACACTGCAGAAGTGTGAGGAATAAAAAAATAAGTAGATGACAGAAGTAACACAATCTCTTCATCTTGTTGTTCGTGTGTGCTACTAAAGAAGTGAAGGCAGACTTTTAGAGAATGGAATGCAAGAGTTTAGCAGATGAACAATCTCAGGACATTTCTCTGATCACCAAACAAGACACCTGTGCAAATGGCAGGGATGTGTGGGTTGGGTGTGTGATATAAAACCTTGGGACTCTCAGGTTCTAATGATGTGCAGTGTGAGAGAAACCCAAACACTTGCTATCTGGATCTTGGTTGTAGGAAATGAACATATTTGTCTGCTTCCTGGTAGACAACTGTTCTCATCACTTTGGTCTCAAATGGCTGTACCATGGGCTGAGGCCAAGGGTGATTAATTGCCTGTTCCTATAACCCAGTCATTTGATTTCCCCTGCTCAGAAGCTAAATGCTGTAAGGATGCAAGTGTGAGGACAATTTTTTTAATTACCTGGGCTTAAACTTGTTGCATGTATCTATGGAGGGCTCCCTTCTTGGAGAATGTAAATTTGGGGCATCTGAGGTGGGTTTCAGGTACCACCTGTAGCACTCTGGAAACGGTTATTCATATCAAGGAGGAACATTTTATTCCTGGCCGACCCTCACAGCAAAATGTGACACTTGCCCATCTTCTACCTCATAACGTGTTAGCTGGGGTGCCAGGGCATGTGGCTGGGCTCTGCCAGACCTCTGCCTCCCTGGGGAGGGGTCACGAGGCCTCAGCCGGGGCTCCTCCCTGTGTCCCCACTGCTCCAGCAGCTCCCGGTGACCTTTTTTATTTATTTATCTCAATCAGAAATCTGTGACAGAGGCTGGGCCATCTGGGAGCTGCCAAACACCTGATAGGGGCTGTGCCCACAGCGAGACCTGCGGCAATGGTAGGACCCCATCCTCACTGCCAGCCCAAAGCCCAGTCTGCAGCAGGGAACCCCAGGCTCTCTCCAAGGATGCTATGCTGGGTCGTCGCTGTTTTTGATACGTTTACAGTTTTTTAATCTTTGTAATTCTTTTAAAAGTCTGTCTGTAATGAATAATGAGTTTACTGACTGAAAGCAACAGCTATAATCTTGTAAAACCCCTTTTTCTCCCACAAAAGGGTGAAACGTCACAGTTCATCGTGAGCTTTTCAATCGTGCATTTAATGCCTTATTATAATTGCAGCAGTGTTCTGTAAAGATTAAAAAATAAACGCGTGTAAAGCTGAGCTGTGTCGCTGTCGTTATCTTTGCCCCTCACTGAGCTACTGATTGCAGACAGAAAGTGCCACACGTGCAGGCTTAAAATTTGTCCCACCCAAGTTTGTATTTCCAGAAAAGCAGAGAAGCAGTGGGCAGCCGTGGCTGTGTAAGCAGATGGCTGTGGGGTGCTGTCGTGTGAGGTGGGTGTCAAGCCCCTGCTCACTGTCACCACACACAACTCAGTGCTGAGGCCGTCTCCACACCCCAGCCTTGCCATGGCTTGCTCTTGGTTTGTGCATTTGTTTTCCCAAAAAAACCAGTGCTGAGCATGCCAGCACAGCACCTCATCCCCCCTTACCAGCCTGTGTTTCCACCCAAACAAGGTACAAATGTATGGTTTTGAAGGTCATGCCTTGCAGTGTCATTTTTCATACACTGAATGAAGGGGGCCAGACTTCTTCCTACTGCTATCATGTTAACCAAGGCATGCGAGGGAGTGTCACTCCAGAGTCTCAATTCAGTTTGGAGCGGGCGCTGTCTGCGTCTGTCTGAGTGTCCACAGCACCTGGTACATTAGGGCCCCGCTTCCCCAGTTGGGTTTTAGGCTGTTGTTGCTACAGCAGTAATAAATGCATCCCCAGGGGAAGTAAATTGACTGCAGTAAATTGCCCTCATGCCAGATATAGCCTATGGTGTATTACCAGTGGTTATGAAGAGGTTAAGAGAGTAGGTGTATTTATAGATATGACTATCTATGAGCTGAAAGATCTGGGAGGCTTTCTAACTGAAAGCAACCACTGTATTGTTATTAATTTTTACAGGATTCTTTTTAAGCTTATATTTTTACATGTGGAAGGACTCATCATCATATATTGTATGCACAGGGACTTTTTTTCCCTTGTATGTAAGTCTTGACAAGAGTCCTTAGACTGCAGAGTTCTCTGATTTTCTTACTGGTTTAAATTCAATTGTGGCTGTTACACCTTTGCATAAAATCAGACAAAACAATCTGATTAATATTTGTTTGTATAAACATCAGTGATTCCCACTTTATGGAAACACAGTCAAATAATGCATTTTTATTAGATTGAAATGCAATTACAGCTAAAATATTTTTGCAGACTTGCTGTATTAAAGGCTTGTAGCGATTCTTCTAATTTACGTGCAGAATTCTGCACTTTTACATATGGTAAAAATTCTGAGGTATTGCTAGTAACTGAGCTGCACTTTGTGTAGCAATTGGTCATCTTTCTGAAAAATGGCTTTGCAATCTAAAACATTTGTATTTGTTCTTCACTTACAGACCAGCTCTGAAAGCGCTTCCATGTGAATGTATGCAGCTGCTTGAGAAGTGAGATCTCCTCTGGCATGATGCATAATGTTTACATAAAGCCTCCTGCACCTTGATAGCAAAGCAGTGTATAGGACAGATTCATACTGACCATTTTACAGATGAAGTGGCTTGCCTCTTTTGCCCAGAGAGCCAGCTGGACAGCTGAGAACAGAAACCAAGGCCTCTTAAGTCATAGCTGAGCACTGTGAGATGGAACTTAATCATTACAAAACCCTTGAAATGAATAAATACGTAAGGGATGGCAAATATATGCATATATATATATATAATTTTTTTTTAAGAATGCCGTTGAAAAATTGTTTTGTACAAACCATTCACATACAAAATACTTTAAAAATAAGTAGCAAAATCAGTAGTTAAATTTTGTTCATATTTGCAGGAATTCTGGGGACACTTTGCACATTTAAGGCATTTGTATTATAGTAAGCTTTTTTCAATGTTTCAAAAAATCAATAGGCTTCTGTTCAAATGATAAAACATATCTTTATACCAGCACAAAAAGCTTCTCTTTTCCAATAATAGCCTCTGCTTTGACAGATGTGTTTGCAAGAAAATTTAGCTATTGTTGAATAAAACATTTCCAGAAGCAAAATTGATTAAGTCCCATTTGTAAAGAAAAAAAAATCAATTCTTCCCATTAGAAGTATCTAAAAGATGTTGATCAGCTAGAAATGTAAATAAAGTCCTTTAATCACTAGTCTCCAGCTGCAGCATATCCATCTACAGGAGTTTGTTTTCTGTCTCTTTCTATCTTTATAAGAT